GTGAAACCCCATCTCTACTAAAAATACAAAAATTAGCCAGGTGTGGTGGCGGGTGCCTGTAATCCCAGCTACTCGGGAGGCTGAGGCAGGAGAATCGCTGGAACCCGGGAGGCGGAGGTTGCAGTGAGCCGAGATCGCACCATTGCCCTCCAGCCTGACCCGACAACAGTGAGACTCAGTCTCAAAAAAATAAAACAAAAATAAGTATTATTAGCACTGTGATTAAGAAGGCAAAAAAGATTTAATGAGCCACCAATTCAGAAGGTGTGAGTGTGGCTGCCTGGTAGGGGAAGACTTGCCTGCCTGGATCAAAGTTGGGCAATAACTGGGATTCTTTGTTTGGGAAGCCAAAACCATCTGCGCCACTGGCCTCGGAAAGGAACTCAGGAACCCTACTTTATCCCCTTCACCAACCCCCTCTGCCTCCAGAAGGAAACTTGTATCTCCTTGGAATTCTGATGAACTCTGATATGCCTCACTTCCTGGATATCTACCTGAGATTTATTGATTGATTGATTTTTATTTTATTTATTTACTTTTTTTTTTTTTGAAACGGAGTCTCGCCATGTCGCCCAAGCTGGAGTGCAGTGGCGTGATCTCAACTCACTGCAACCTCTGCTTCCTGGGTTCAAACCATTCTCCTGCCTCAGCCTCCCGAGTAGCTGGGATTACAGGCACCCGCTACCACGCCCAGCTCATTTTTGTATTTTTAGTAGCCATGGGGTTTCACCATGTTGGTCAGGCTGGTCTCAACCTCTTGACCTCATGATCCACCCGCCTCGGCCTCCCAAAATGCTGGGATTTCAGACATGAGCCACCGCACTGGGCCTACCTGAGATTTATTATGCATGCCTCTGAGCTACTCAACTGCAAACTCCTTGAGGATGGGCACTTCATCTTAACTATTTCATACACCCCCACACACGAACTTGCACTTAGGGTGATGCCTTTGCCCTTGGTAGACTCCCTGGGTCCCCAAGTGTCAGAGCCGGGAGAGACCTTGAGAATTCTCTACTACAAATCCCCACCCACCTCCTGTCATGCACGATTCACATTTTCCAGATGAAGAAACTGAGAGGAGCCATTCAAAAGGGCTGATGAGGCTGGTCCGAAGGTCAGGAGTTACTTCAATTGATTGTTCACAGTCAGTTACAGGTCAAACTCCTTGTTCTACCCTTTCCCCACTTCTCACTACTGCACTTTACTAGTCTTTAAAAAAATTTTTTTAAATAAATAAATAAAAGAGCAGATGAACAAGAGACTAGATTTATCAGAGGTGATCCATAGGGAAGGACTCCAAAGTCAGGGCTTCCTTTATCAAAAGAGAGAGGCAGGGAGGGCATGGTGGCTCAAGCCTATAATCTCAGCACTTTGAGAGGCTGAAGTGAGAGCATGGCTTGAGCCCAGAAGTTCAAGGCCAGCCTGGGCAATCTGGCAAATCCCCATCACTACAAAAAATACAAAAATTAGTTGGACGTGGTGGTGTGTGCCTGTAGTCCCAGCTACTTGGGAGGCTGAGGTGGGAGGATCGCTTGAGCCTAGGAGGTTGAAGCTGCAGTGAGCCATGATTGCACCACTGCTCTTCAGCCTGGGTGACAGAGTGAGACCTTGTCTCAAAAATAAAAAAAAAGAGCGAGGCAGGAAAGGAAGATTAAGGGAGGGACTATGGGAGGTTATGCCTGCCCCATTGCAAGGACCCCAAAGGCTTTGCAGCCAGAAGCCAGAATTCCTGGGCAGAGATAGGGTCCATTTAGTGCCAATCACAGCATTTTAAATCTGGGAAGAAGCTTAAAGCCTATCAAACCGAAGAAGTTTCTTGAATGCCAGTAAAGAGAGTAAACCACTGTTTTTTGCTCTCTATAATTTATTTTTTAATCTTATCTCTACTGAACACAGCACAAAAAGGCATTTGTCGGGGTTGATTCCTGGGCCTTCTGAAGCTCGAGGCACACGCAGGCGAGCATTACTGGTCCTAAAAATAAATCAGCTGGGAGGGGCTTAGCTCCCAGCGGGGTCCCAGCAAGTCCTGTGCCCTCCCCACCCCTCCCAGCAAGCATCCTGAGGGACCCTCTGTACAGCTCCTCACCAGGGCACTGCCCTCTTTTCCTATCCTGTAGGGAGTAAGTGGGGCCACCAAGTCCTGCTTCCTGCTAGAACTGCAGGGGTGTCAGTGGAGGTTCTGTGCTCCGTGCCCTCTTAGCAGGCAACCCCCAGTCAAGGCACACATCAATGATGGACTCCAGTGAAGGAAATCCTAACTGGGCCTTTATCTCTACCCGAGGCCTCCAGTCAGCCCCTAAACCCTGAACTCGAGGACAGAAAGCCTCCCCTTGTAGAGCAGTGT